CAAACATTCACACAAATGAGACATACTTTGTGTGAAACACAACATTGCGTTCACTGTTGTTGTCATTTGCCATACATTTGAGTGAAACACAGACAACCACTTCATGCCATCACCCTTTGGGATCAGTTGCACGCAATTGTCTCACTTGTCACCCGTCAACACATCCAAAGAGTGAGTGGTGTTTGAGACCAATCCTCCGCACATACAAAGACACTGCTCTTGGAGTGAATCGTGTGTTTGATTGAACTGCTCGTGAGGTGACAACAGATCCCTGAAGAATGCCATTAGAAGACAACAAACCGGAGACACTGACCACGAGTACAGACACGCCGTATGAGTTGGAGTCGCAGTTCATACTACGGTTGCCATCGCTGGCCGCCGCCAGTCTTCGGGCAGCCGTCAGATCAGGTGAGAGACCATCGCATCCATTGTTTGTGTTGTTGTAGCCATCGATGACTCACCACTTGCTCTGATCCATAGGTGTGATGAATCTGAAGGAGAGGCTCACCGTTCAGATCGAGCCGGACATCCGTCGCGGAACCGTTCGCTTCGACGGGTGGGTATTGCCCGCGAAGATCATGGATTTGCCGACTATTATAGAGTCCCACAAAACACTCGACGGAAAGAACTTCTATAAGACGGCAGACATTTGCCAACTCATGGTCTGCAAGGAGGACACCGACGACACGGCCGGCGCCCCTAAACCGGACGACACGACCACAACGGCCGCCGCTGCGGACGACCCGCACGGACAGCGAAAGGGAAAGGACGGGAAGGACAGGAAGCACTTGTGGCCGCACGGGATTACACCGCCGCTCAAGAATGCGCGCAAAAAGCGGTTTCGGAAGACCCTGAAGAAGAAATACGTGGACTTCCCGGAGATCGAGAAGGAAGTGAAGCGTCTGTTCCGGACGGACAACGAGGCGAAGAGCGTCCGCTACGAAGTGGTGAACGCGGACGACGAGCTCCGGGCGGACTCGATGGCCAAGTCGTCGGGCGCGCGATCCCCGGGCCGGGCGGCTGCCGGTGCTGGCGGTGGCCATGGCTTCGATGTGGGCGAACACGACATCTTCGGCGATGTCGTCAGCAGTAGTGATGACGACGACGACACCCGACATAATAGGGACGACTCGGGAGATGACAGCCGTATGTCGTCGAGCATTAGGGACGCGTTGCTAATGAAGGACAGGTCGTCGCCCGAGAAATACGTGACGGAGTTCTCCAGAGGTATGCTGTCGGATAGCGCTATGGGTGGGGACGCGTTGGCAACGGCCGGCACGTCAGGCGCCGGTAACTACGGCTACGATATGGACGACGAGGCCATGGAGTCGTCCAACGCCGTGGACGCGATGGGCGCCGCACTGGCGGAGGACACGGCGGCCACCAGTGCTCTAGAGAGGGGTCAGGAGAACGAGCAGTTGTGGGACAAACTCAATGAGATCGAGGCTGAGATACAGGCGCTGCAGTCGCAGAGGTTGAACCAGCAGATGGAAATGGATAACATCGAGAACATGGCGCTGAAGCAGCGGTTCCAGAGCCAGATCAACGAACTCAAGGCTCAGGAGGGCTCCAAACGCAGGGAATACGACGAACTCCAGGCCCTACTCAGTGGCCAATGAGCGGACGCTTCTGTATTATATTCAACACTAAAATAACTGTTCATTAAAAGCATTGTTTTATACAAAATAAATCATATATTATTAAAATTAAACCCAAATTAAAAATTCATTTGAATGTAATCTCATCGAAGGAGGTAATGGTCGGGAATTGTCTAAACGTGTCGTCACTCAGTGTTTCTGTTCCCTCTCTGATCGATAGGATGGCAGTAATGCCGGCCTCTTTGGCTGCGAACGCTTCTGTGGTACAGATAATGCATGTATTCATTGAAATCACTTCCAATGCAAAAGAGTGTCAAACCTTTAGCCGCATCCGTAATGAATACAATGTCTTCGGGATTCAAACCACAAGTTTCGGCGATTTTAGTATAACTTAATGACTCGACTTTGGGACCAATTGTTGTGTCGAAATAGTTGTCAATTAACTAATGGTTTGCACACAAAAAGCAATGGTTTATTGAATTGCATTTGTATGTGATATGAGTGTAACAAACATGAGTTAAATCACCGCAAACTGAATGTCCGAAAATGAGTTTCTGCGCCAAAACACTACCCGAAGAATATATGCATAACTTTATGCCCAACTCTTGGGTCCATTTGGTGATGGCTTTCGGCACATCACTGTAAACGCTGTCATAATATATTGATAATTAAAATCAGAGATTAAGACAGACATAGGGATCAAGTGGTGAGACGTACTGTCCCTTAATATCTCCGCACTGGTAGCCAAAGCGCCACATCTTTCCCTGAAATTGTTTCAAAGCCGTTATCTTGCGGTCGGCACTCATTTGCCACAACACGTTGTCGACCACTGATTGGATGACCGCTTCCCGATTGGACTGGTCTTCGGTGCCAATCACCGGCACATCACTGGATCCGCTCTCCAAGTCTACCAACGATTGTTTGCGCAATAAATCGACGTCTTCTTGCAGTGACCCGTCATTCCTGTGGACATAAACACACATCCAATCAATTACTGCGAAGACTTTTTAGTAGATAATAATCTTCGGCTAAGAAGTAATGACCAGTTTTTACGCAAATAGTCGTTGATATTAGTGATGACATAAGGAAAGAGAAACTCTTTGACGAATGTGATGGAAGTGGTGGTGCCCTCGATGTCCACCACTATTAGGCGAGGTTTGGTTAACTCGATCATCGGTTACCACAAGAGTTTAGGACAGGATTTAAGTGTAAAATTGATTTTTTGGATAAAAAGTTAAAAATAAGTTTTTTGTGAATCAATGAAAGTCTGTTGAAGTCGTTATCGCATTAGACGTCAATTGAATGCATTCATAGCCTATCAGAGAGTGGCTTACGGTATGAGAGGGGGAGTCATGTGTTTGAGGGACAGTGCGTTCAATACATACGTAAACATAGTGTCTGTTTGAGTGTCCCTTTAAATACAAAATCCGGTTTAAACTGATTATTAGACTCAAGATTACTGTTAATCGTGTGAACACTTCACTCAATTCAAGTGCTTTTATCACTAATTTGTTATAAATTACTGTTTATTTATTTTTAATACTATGTAAATAATATTTGATTAGTTTTTTTAATAAAGTTTACAAAGTTTTGTGAAATGTTATGCTAGAAGTTTCAATGATAAACATAGCGTAAAACAATTCATTTTGTATTTTTGTATGCTTTGGTGCAATAAATATAAGTGTAATTAAAAGTAAAAATAATGACAATTAAATCAAAAAACGACAAAAATATCGTAAAAAATTACAAACGCTTTGCGAAAAAGGCGTCAAAATTGAAACACAAATGTAAATGTACAAAAGGACTGAAAGGCGCGCAAACGAAAAGGGCGTAACTATGACGTCATAAGGCGTGAGAGTTACGCCGTTTGTGGAGTTTTGGGATTTAAAAAACTTTAGTTTCTATGACATCACATGTGATACTCGAGAGACTGTTTCAATGAATCGGTTGTCTCTCACAGACTCGCACTCACTGTCTGTATACAAGACTGTCTGTTAGCTGATCCGCCCATTCATCCGACCATCACTTCACACCAAACCATTGTCTGAGCGCAAGGTATGTGCGATTCAGTCGTCGGCATCTCATCCCACATGTCATCGCCGGCTAAAGACGTGAGCGCATCGTTGGCTGCCATCTCATCACTGGTGACCAGTCTATTGCCCGACCAATCACTACAAGCGCCACAATTGGATCTCTTGATTACGCGTCTCATTCATCTGCAGTCCATCGCCCACTACAACAACACCAACAGCACGGGTGGCGCCGGTATGAGTGGTGCGGACACCAGTGTCCAGACATGTGCTGATGAGAGCGATGTTAGGCGTGAAAGGCATCGACGCAACGAACGGTATGTCTTAGACACCCATTGAGGTGATCCATCAAATCCAGTGCTGACCACCGTGTGGTTTGTCCGTAGCGTTCGTCACCATAAGATCATTGAACTGATCCGAGAGTTGAGTCAAATGATTGGACTCAATGGGCAACAGGAGACTCATGTATGCGAGTGACCGCACTGTCCGCGCAATGAACTGTCAATTAAAACCTTTGGTCACCTCTTGTAGGCCAATGTGCTGCAGAAGTCGGCGCGTTATGTGTTGTTCTTATCGTACGTTATGGACAAACTGGAGGTCGACAGCACTGATGACACGGTTGACATCATGTCCGAGCAATGGCTGCAATCACTGCATCCCTTATACCTAAGAGCCGTCGGTATGAGTGTTGACTGCGTTTGACATAAAACTCATTGACTAATGGTTTGTGTGTTTCCCGTCTCTCCCTTTCCTCCTCTAGAAGAGGCCACGTATTTGATCCAAAACGCCGCTAACGACAGCTGCGGGTCGACCACTGGCGCCGACTTATGGGACCAATCCTTCGATCAATGTTTACCATTAAAGAGCTGAACAATTAGTTTGGATTACATTTACAAATGAATTGATTGTTCACTCATTTAGAAGCAAATAATGGTTTGATTTATTTGTTTGTTTTACTTGTATTTGTATTGTTTCTCAATAAAACCATTCATTCAAACGCATGAGAAATACCGGTAATAATCGCTATAATAATCACTAATTACTTCGCGAATTGCTATTTAATATAAATGTTAATCTCTTTGTATTATTATTAATAACAAATCGATTTAATAAAAGTTTTTATCATTTTTTTTAACGTCAACGAAATGACTAAGTTTTACTATTTTTATTATAAATAATTTAATGATTTTTTGTGGAAAATATATAATTTCTATACAATTAAAGACTCGATTAATTTAAAAAACAAACAAACTTTGTATCAGTTATGACGACAAGGGGTCAGGGCTGAGGGAGTCGTCGGAAATAAATAACTAACCCTAAGAGCATAGCCAACGCCGTCATGACGTACAGGTCCCAGTCGGGGCCCAACACCTTCTGCACGTTGAGGCCGTCGAGCACTTCGTTGACGTCGTACTCGTGGAGCGACTCCAAGCCGTAGACGAGTCCCAGTTTGAGTCGGGCGAGCGCTACGGGCACCTGTGCGTCGAGACTGGTCTCAGCCGCCAAGTCGTAGTAGCGTTTGGCGAGATGTATGTCCCGCTTGAGGCCGAGCCCGAGCTCATGCATGTACCCCAAGTTGAAGAGCGCCTGCGCGTTGTGCTGCGCGTCGCTGGCCATCCGGTACTGCGCGGCCGCCATCTCGTAGTCGACGCGAGTGCCGAAGCCGTAGTAGTGATAGTCCCCTAACTTGACTCTCGCCACGGAGTAGCCCTGCGCTGCCGACCGGCTCCAGTACATGAGCGCCCGGGTGTGCGTCTCGGACTTGTCGAACAGCTCCGGCAACTCATTCCTGTCCAGAATGAAGGCGGCGTTGCTCTGCGCCACTTCGTAGCCCAGCTCTGCCATCAGCGCGTATTTTATGTACGACTGGGCGACGCGGCCCTCCTTGTAGTCGGTGTGCGCCTGCATTAGGGTCGCCCCCCAGTGACCCCTTTCCGCCACACTCTTGAACAGCTCCACAGCCGTGTTGCACGACCTCAGCGTCCCGGTGCCCGAGGCGTGCATTTGCGCCAAATTATAAAAGCCCAACACATGGCCCGACTGGGAGGCCATCGTGAAGTACTTGATGGCCGTCCGGTAGTCTCTGGTGACGCCGTAGCCCTTCAGGTACATGAGCCCCAACTGGAGCTGCCCGTCCACCCAGCCCTGTGTGGCGGCCTGCGAGAAGTATTTGAAAGCCTTGTGGTAGTCCTTGTCGACCCCTTTCCCCTGCAGGTACATGAGTCCGAGTCCACTCTGGCCCACAGGGTTGCCCTTCTCGGCCGCCATCGAGAAGTACTTAAACGCCGTTTCGTTGCTTTGGGGCACAACATGACTGCCCTCTAAATGCATCTGAAAATACATTTCACCACAAGATATACGGATTAGACATTCATTCGGACAGACAGACAGACAGGCGTTCCCGCCCATCCCAATACATACCTTTCCGAGGAAAGCCATGGCGTTGGCATTACCCGCTTCGGCCGCTTGAGTGAAGTACGTGAGGGCGCGGCTGTGGTCCTGATCGACGCCACGGCCGCCCTGGTAGTGGAGCTGACCCAACCCCACCTGCGCCTGGATGTCGCCCTTATCGGCCAGAAACTGGTAGTACTGAATGAGATCGTCGTCGAGAACGCCGCTGAAAGAGCCCGGGTTCTCGAGCTCGTCCAACAGCCGCACCCGCTGTATGACTGTCCCCCCGGAGAACGACACGTCCTGTTCGACCCGTTTGGCCACTTTTCGGTAGTAATTGAGGGCCGACTCGCAGCTGGACATCACGGATATGCCCGACCAGTGTCTGAAGGCGAGCGCCATTCGCGCGAACGTATTGCCAGACGTGGCCGCGAATGTGAAGTATACGAGTGCTTTGGATTGGCTCGGAGTCACTCCCAGTCCCATGGAGTGCATCACACCTAAGAACTGGTCGTTCGGATCAATGTTGGCATCAAATTAGTCACAAGAATAACGAGGTTTTTGTCATTGAAATCAAAGCAAATGAATGGCAAACCAGTTGGGCGTTGGCGTTGCCTCTGAGCGACAGTCTCTGGAAGTAGTCTTTGGCGACACTCAAGTCGATGGGCAAGAGGTCGCCGAAGAGGTGCTGTTTGGCCACCCATTCCATGGCCTTCTCGTCGTCCAATTTGGCCGACTCTGCCATCAAGTCGTACGCCTTTTGCCGGTCCGAGCGACTGGTATTCAGCAGAGCGACGGCCGACTCATACAACTGGACGGCGAGCCTCTCCTTCTCAGTCAACACCCGTTCCTCCCGTTCCCCCACAACCGGCTCGTCCTCATCGCCGGTCACCTCCTGTTCCTCATCCGACTCTTCGGCCTTAATCTCATCGCTATTACTATCTGTCGGTTCGTCTTCGGAGGACGTCTTCCGACGCTCTCGAGTCGACTCTTCGGTGCCTTTCATCACACGATCGCCAATAGAGTCGTCACTACTTCTCGCGGGTTTGTTGTCGTCCTCTGCGGTCCGCTTCTGAACCACACTATCGTCTGCGGAGTCGTCGATACGTTTGACACGTTTCAGAGGTCTGTCGGACGCGCCGTCTTCGGTGTCCATCACTTTGGACTCACTCTTAGTCTTCGTTTGAGTCTTACTATCGTTTTCATCGCTAATCGCATTGTCTTTCGTTTTGGCGTTAATTAACAGAAAACAACAGATTATTAATAAAACTAATAATAAATGTCTTCTCATATTGTCTTTCGGATCAACTGTTGGCTAAACTGTGGCTTCAATTAAGACATTAGTTTCGATGATATGAGCACTGGTTTGGAGGCATTTAAGCCACGGATTGACTGGTTGATGACAATTGTGGTGACAATTGATGAGTGCTTTCAATACAAATGCAATGATTTGCTGAGAATTGGTGTCAATTGTGGACACAATTAGCGTTGCATTCAGTCATCGATTCGGTGTTTATATCATAGACTGACGTATACTTTGGCGGTCGTCATGACAACCGATACAGTCGTGAACCTGTGGTGCACTCATGTGAGCCATCTCTACATCTCTACACAACATTCACTCACCGATTGTCACAATCATAGGTATTGTTAGGTATTGACAGTGAATGCAACGCTAATTGTGTCCACAATTGACACCAATTCTCAGCAAAACATTGCATTTGTATTGAAAGCACTCATCAATTGTGACCACAATTGTCATCAACCACTCAATCGTGTCTCACGAGCAGTGAGAGCACCACTGCTTCCCATAGACTGTCATATAAACCAGAGTTTTCATACAAACTCGGATTAAATCTCAATAAAGGATTTGTTTTTAGATATTTGTTTGAAAACTATTTATTGATTCATGTCTTAAGAGCTCTTAGTCTCGTCGATGGGTTCGTATCCGTCGTTCTCAATGCGATCCTTGTATTGAAGGTATTCTCGTCTCCGGTCGAAGTGAGACACCTGTGGATCAGATGCAGTGACGTATGAGTGGTGAGTGAGACAGTGGGAGACCATTGCACGCAAACTACAGACCCATTGCTGCGGACACTGGCTCTCGAAGAGTGTCCGAAAGGCCGTACATTTGTCTCGTTGGCCGTCATTGGCGTCCAAACAGCTCCAGAGCTGATCCCTCGCTGCATAGCATTTGGTTCGTTGCTCTTTGTTTGGATAAGACATCACTGTCTGGGATGTGATCCACGGAAACGACAATTAAGTGGTATTTAAATGACAAGAATTGGCATCAAATTTGACAACAAATTCGCTGCATAGCATTTGGTTCGTTGCTCTTTGTTTGGATAAGACATCACTGTCTGGGATGTGATCCACGGAAACGACAATTAAGTGGTATTTAAATGACAAGAATTGGCATCAAATTTGACAACAAATACATGCGTTTTGTGAGTTTGTGTGACCACTAAAAGAGCGTAACTCTAGCGCTATATCTGCTAACAGTTGTGCCGTTCATTGCATTAGAGGTGCGATACAGTCGTCACTCAGTATTGAAACCAAACAAAGGTTTTTGAATTGTGTTCATTGTATGGGTGCACACAATTAGCAAGGTACTAACCGTGTTGTGTAATATGTGTGTGTATATGAACCTGGTCACACAGCCGAGGCTCGTCATTTGAGCTCTAGATTACAGGTATGTTTGGTGTCGTATAGCGGGAGTGGACTGTATTTGTGAGACACAGTCGCGAACCACAGGTTTGTTGTGATAATTGAAGCACTTTTTGGTGATATAATGGCCACTCATGTGCTCACAAACGGCGATCCCCTCGTCGACGCCGACGACCACCAAGAAGTGGACGCACTGTCGCGTCGTCTGTCGCACGAGTTGGCCATCGATGGCGCGGTCGACACGTGTTGTGCGGTATCACTGATTAACTACGAGAGCGAGCGGCAGATGCCGGACATCATGGGTTTGATCCAAAAGGACTTGTCTGAGCCGTACTCCATCTACACCTACCGCTACTTCATCCACAACTGGCCGCACCTCTGCTTTCTGGTAGGTCTTCGCTCGCCAACAACTGTCCACTCGGTGTGACCGCAATGTCTGTATTACTAACCTATGATTGTCTTGTATTGCTTGCTGTGGTCTGTGGTCTGCGGCGCACAGGCGATGGACAGCACTAGGGGTGTGATAGTGGGCGCCATTGTCTGCAAACTGGATGTGCACAAGAAGATGGTGGGCAGGGGTTATATAGCGATGTTGGCCGTCGACAAGGACTACAGGAAACGTAGGATCGGCTCCAATCTGGTCCTCAAAGCCATTCAGGCCATGATTGCCGGCGACGCCGACGAGGTATCTCTTACGGTGTCCATCACTCGTGTGTCCGATAATTGGGTGTCAATTAAGGCGTGATTTGTTTGTCTGTTTCGATGTGTAGGTTGTGTTGGAAACGGAGGTCACAAACAAGTCGGCGCTCAAACTGTACGAAAACCTCGGTTTCGTTAGAGACAAGCGATTGTTTCGCTATTATCTCAATGGTGTCGACGCTCTGAGGCTTAAACTGTGGCTTAAATGACATACTCTCTCATCAAATATAAGTTATTTAATTGAAAAAATACATTCACTCATAGCTAATATTGATATAAATGAGGATTTTATACATAAAACACATACTTTTAAAATAATTATAATTAAAAACGTGCGAAAAGTTTAGTGCAATTAATAAGATGTGAAAAAAAGATAATTTTGTTTTGTTTTTCTGGACGTAAAATAAATTACTTTTCGATAAAAAAGTGGTTCAATAGTAACATATTGTTAACAAATAGGAGATGCAGTGAATGGACAGTCCATGGGAACGGGCGACTCATTTGCAATTGTAAGGCATATCCAGTTTCTGTCGCTTACGAGCGCTCATCTGCTCGAAGAACTCTTTGATGTCGTCTTCGGTGACCGTTCTCTTGGATTCGGCGAACCCTCGAAGATATTCTTTGAGAGATGTCTGCAAATCGTTGTAACCTTTGGGCACAGAATTGACACCATATCAGATATACAGTAGTCGTGCGGGAATGGTATGCAATGGCGACTGTGCGCTACTCACCGCTAATGTACTCGATTTGTTGCACCCTGTCCATTTTGCCCAACTCGGACAGCCCCTTGTCGTAGTCGCTGACCCGGGTGTTCGACGTCATGCCCTCCTTCTCGTAGTAGTGAACCATATCCTTGTCGTCCGTCAAGAACTGGCATTTGTTGTCCGCGTAGACACTTCCAACTCCGACAGCCCCTTGTCGTAGTCGCTGACCCGGGTGTTCGACGTCATGCCCTCCTTCTCGTAGTAGTGAACCATATCCTTGTCGTCCGTCAAGAACTGGCATTTGTTGTCCGCGTAGACACTCAGACAGGCCTTGCATTTGCAGAGCTGTCGGCGCCATTCCATTGGCCAATAGGTGGCCGACAACTGACCGGTCGGTGGGTCCGCGCCATCCGCTCCCGACTTCAATGCCTTGAGTTTGCATTCGTTAAGCTTTCCGGCGCCCGAAGAGTCGGCCACCGAATCGCACGAGTTTTCGATACCGCTGTCGACGGCCTCCTTAGCCACCGATGACTCGCTTTTTGTCGACACATTTGGATCAGCATTGGGTTCAGTGGACGAGACATCGATGTCTGCGTTCGAGTCATTCATTTCGATGCGAAGTTCTGTAGGTTTTGGAGACAAACACAACAAAACTGTTGGCAATTGTTTGGTAGTTATGAAGTAAAACCAGTTCATCACTCACTTTGACCGTAACAGAACAACATCTTGGTCTCCTTACCCTCAGCTCACTGTGTTCGCGACGTTTAGTAAAGCCTTTTGAGGTACAAAAGCCACTTCAAAGGGTTTACGACTTGTGTAACCTCACTTTTGTTTCACTTTAGAAAACAAAACATAAGCAGAGAATGGCGTGAATGGTGACCAACCCTTCCGTGATACCAGTCCTCGCACACCACGCACTGAATCATTTGGTCGTCCACCTCGTCGTCCGGGTCGGGGTAAGGGCGCCGACACTCGCAGTACACGCCGTCGAAGTTGTGGTTGTATTGGTTGCGGTCATTGACACCCGATTTCTGCGGTAATCAACAGACAAACCATTGACACAACCGATGGACACCTCGTGAGACGAGTGATGGCAACGCGAAAACACTCACCGAATATAGTTTGCACTCATTTTGGCCGAACTTATCGTTACCGCAATCGCACCGGAAGTTGCGTTTAGTGTACAGTTCCACGAGATCGTGGCCGTCGTGGCACCGGTAGCTACAGGCGAGGCATATGGCGGCGCGCGGGGGACACCCATTCTCGGCTTCGGCGGCACTCGTGGCCACCAATGGGCACGTCTGGCACGCGTACAGCGCCTGTCGACTCACGTATCCCTAAGAGTGAGACACACGCNTGCAATCGTTTGCAAACAATAATCACTGCATTTAGTGCTGACCTCTAGTGTAGGCAATGCTCTTATGGAATACAGTCTACACTCGCTATTCATATTTCGTTTATTGATGTCGATATTATGTACAAAGTTTTAGTTTATACATTATGTAAATCAGTACCTATGCTAACATAATACGGGATGATTTGTGTACACATTTGTGTTATTAAATATTTGGTGTACTTTAAAATTATGACCGATTTTTGTATTAAAATAGTGTTGACTATAGCGAGTGGTGTTGGTGTGCACGTCGTCTCGATCGCGAACTTTTCAATCATTGCTTTCGACAGACGATAGACTGAGTCGTCATTCGAGTCGTGCTTTCATTGCATTCCTTTCGGCCAACGATTCACTGAATTGTCGCACAAATTGCGCCCAAAATTGGATCCCTTTCTCAACGGCTCTTCACTCGCGGACACCGATCGCGACCTCCGAAGCAATGGTACGACAGAAGCACAAGGAGTGGCAGTTGAAGCGCCAGACGGCCCGCAAGAGTACGTCCGGAGTGGCGAAGACACCGACGACGACGGCCTCCACGTCGGGCGCCGGCGATCGCACCGTCAGTCCTATGCCGGGAACTCCTGCCGACGGCCACTCGTGCGCCGGCACTCCAGAGGTGTCTCAGTCCTCATCCGTCACACAGATCTCCGGCTTCGCCATCGAGTCGTCGCGTCGTTTGCGACGTATTCTCGAGACGAAGAGGATTCAAGAGAAGAGCGACTCGTCGTCGACGCCGGCGCTCAACACTCGAGGCCCGGGAGGTATGGCTCGCAAGCGGACGGGCGGGGAGTGGCAGGTGAAGCGCCGCCCCTATCGCCACAGACCCGGCACTATAGCGCTGAAGGAGATCCGCCGCTTCCAGAAGTCGTGCGAACTCCTGATCCCTCGCCTGTCGTTCCAGCGATTGGTGCGCGAAGTGGCCCAACACTACGCCAAAGACCTACTGTTCCAGTCGATGGCACTGTCGGCCCTCCAGGAGGCGACTGAGGCTTATTTGGTGGCACTCCTCGAGGACTCCAATCTGTGCGCCATTCACGCCAAGAGAGTCACGATTATGCCGAGGGATGTCCAGTTGGCCCGTAGGGTCAGAGGGGAACGCACCTGAGGGCTGCCCAACACACACACACATAGCCATACAGTTGATCCCACGGTGACAATACCTTCAGACTCTGTTTCACTCTTTCACTTATTTATGACTTCTTTTTATTGAAAAATTTGTTATTTTTACGGTTAAAACCATTTGTGAATACTTTTGTCTTATAAATATTAATTAACAAACAAAAATAACATGAAAATTAACATATTATTAAATATTAAATCAACAAAAAGACAATAATCAACACAAGAGTGACATGTATACTCAGCTACAAAACAAAACATTAAATATTTTACAAAATCAATTAATGCCAACAAATATAAAATGCGATTAAATATTGTGCACTAAATTGTTCACTAAATGTGAAGTACACTAACAATTGGTTAACTACAGTATAATAATAGGCTATCCCTGAACACTAGCTATCATGTGGGCAACGGCGCTAAGAGTGTGCATACAATTTGTACGATACAGTGAGTGATCACTGAATTTGTTCCCAAAAAAAGACTTCATGAAAAAGTTGACAAAACTTTTATACCACAAACCAAACCATGCAATAGATGTCAGAGTTTGAGAGACATAGGAATGTGTTGACATTGTATTCATTGGGCTATTCAATTACATTGTGCTTGCTCATATGCTCATACAGTAACGTAAGTCTATCACCAATTGAAACCCGTGAGTACCGCACGTCCCACCAAATTAACCGCATTTATTGGCCGCTATATCCCAGCCATCGGTGTCATTGAAAGTAAGCATTCATTCGTCGGACGCTATCTCTTATGATAACTCTTTTCTGGCGATAAGTTGTCCACACAAACAGACTTTCTATGAAATCAATTCATTTGTTTGTCTCTGCGATCGACAGGTAATGGCAGACACGGGTCGGTCGAGGGGTCGGGCGCGGGGAAGGGCTGCCGTCGGTGTGGGTCACGAACCGCCGCCACTGCCGACCACCAGACCATTGGACGTGAGTTCACTGCAACAGACACTGCCGTCACCCGTGGGAAGCGCTGGCGGTGATAACGGGGGCAATGGTGGTAGCAATGGGGCCGCTGTGCGGAGTAGAGCGGGGTATCGGTCGGTGGCGGTGACCCGACCCCCTCAGGTGCGCTCAACGGTGGGCGCCGGCGGCAAAGCCGTGACAGTTGTGGCCAATTATTTTCGCCTCAAAACGCCGTCCAATGCCGTCGTCTATGACTATCGCGACCTGAAGCTCGGACTCCAGCTCCGGGCTCACCACGCGTTTCCGGACGAGAAGTTGCTGCGGCAGGCGGTCCGCAAGTTGCTAGCCGAGCAGAAGCTGCCCTACAGATTGAACTTCAGTTGCCATGCACTGGCGGCCGAAGAGACCGAGTTTTACGCGACGCGAACGACGGATCAGTCGAGGGTTAAGATACGGGTGCGACGGGTGGGAGAGTTGGGTTGGGGTCATCAGGAGATGTTCCGGTTGTACAACACGCAGATGCGGAGGAATATGCAGCTCTTGAAGTGGAATCTCATTGGACGCCATTATTTCAATCCGCAGATCAGGCATACGATACCCGAACACAAGCTGGAAGTGCTTCAGGGGTTGTTGACCGCCATTAACCGACACGACGGCGGCATTCTTATGGTGGCAGACACTGTCCATAAGATCATACGCCAGGACTCGGTTCTCGACAACTTGAGGGACATCTTCAACAGAGACCGCAACGGCTTCACCACAAACGCCAGGCGCGAGCTGTCCGGCGCTGTCGTGATCACCAAATACAACAACAAGACCTATAGAGTGGACGACATCTGCTTCGATAAGAACCCGCGGACGACGTTCGACAAGAGGGGAACTCCGGTCTCTTTCATGGCTTACTATAAGCAACAGTACAATATAGACATCACAGACGAGGAACAGCCGCTTCTCATAGCGTTGCCTAGTCTTCGGGATCAAAGGGCCGGACAGACGACGGCTATATTACTGGTGCCCGAGCTCTGCAATATGACGGGAATCTCGGACTCCATGGCCGACGACTTTAATATCCGCCGAGAGTTGACTCAACGGACACAACAGGACCCCAACCAAAGAGTGCAACACTTGAATCAGTTCATCGGTTCCATTCATAATCACCCGCAGATCAGACAAGATATGGCCAAATGGGGTCTCGAGTTCGACACGACTCCCGTCGAAGTGCCGGCCCGTGTGCTCGACTGCGAGCGCGTCCTAATGCACGGCCAGACCCCGCAAACGGGAACCGTTTGGGACCAAAAGGCTCGAGATTTTAGCCGCGAGATTCGCGGCAAACCTATGTTCAGCGCCATTAATATCGCCAATTGGGCCGTAATCTGCTCGCGAAGAGACAATCATATAATTAAGGACTTCTCGGAGAAGCTGATGTATGTGTGCCGCCCGTTGGGTGTGGGGCTCAGCCAACCGCAGGTCACTGTCATCGACAACGATAGGACGTCTGCCTTCGTGGAGGCCTCGAATGCCATACCTCCGAGTTGTCAGATAATTGTCGTAATACTTCCCAATAATAACAAAGAGCGCTACGACGCCATCAAAAAGATCTTCTGCTGCGAACACCCGATGGCCTCCCAGTTGATAGTGAAGCGGACACTCAATAACCCGCAGCGCCTGATGTCTGTGTGCACTAAGATTGGCATTCAGATGGCCTGTAAGCTCGGCGCCGAGCCCTGGGTGGTCGACATTCCTGTATGTATTTCCCCGTTTGCCGAGTGTTTTGTCGTTTTGAGAAACTAATTGTTATTTTGTGATCAAAAAGCCGCCGAATCTAATGGTCGTCGGGTTCGACGTGAACCGGGACAGCGCCCAAAGGGAACGGGCTATCGGGGCGTTCGTGTGCAGCACTAACGCCACTCTCACCAAATGGTATTCCTGTGTATCGCCGCATAAGAATCGCGAAGAGTTGTCCAATAATTTCAAAATGAATTTTCAATGTAAGCGATGACTTATAGCATGTGAAATGTGTGACAAACTAATGGAAAGCCTGCCCTTTGTGTGTCACCTATAGCTGGTCTGAAGCGCTACTACGAGGCCAACAAACGGCCGCCGCAGACAGTGATTGTCTATCGGGACGGTGTGGGCGAGGGTGACTAGCTGATGCACATGCCGATACTTGAGTTTGTTTAGCTCCTGCGGTAGTTTCGGTAGAAGTTACTCCACGGTTAGTTTGACACAAAGCATTAGCAGTGGTTTGCCTAGTTGTGTGCTGACAAGGTTGGGGCGGGCGCTCCCAATCAGTACCAGAACCCGATCCCCGGGACGGTTGTGGACGCAGTGGTGACGCGAGATGAGCGCTACGACTTCTATCTGGTGAGCCAATCGGTCAGACAGGGAACCGTTACGCCCACGATGTACAACATCATCAAAGACGGCACCAATTGGGCGCCCCATCGGCACCAACAGCTCGCATACAAATTGACTCATTTGTACTACAATTGGATCGTGAGTTCTCCCGTTCCCTATCGTATTGAGAGTTGAGATCTAATTGTAATTAATTGTTACCATATTAGGGTACGATCCGAGTGCCGGCCCCCTGTCAGTACGCCCACAAACTGGCATTCCTGACGGGCACTGCCCTTCATCGCCCGTTCCATAGCCGGCTGAGTGACACACTCTTCTATTTATGAGACCAATGCCGCCGATAATAATCAATGAGTTGGACTTAAATGCCATTTGTAAATGTAATCGCTTTTCACTCGTTTTAATCAAATGACTTCAAACCGGTTTATATACACATCTCTGACAAGCCATACAAATCCGGTGCTTTTTACCTATAATTCTAATTTAATCATAATTTTATTTAATATAATTTTATTTAATATAATTTTTACCGTAAATATACTTTGTTTATACCTTAAATCGCAATCATTTTATTGCAGTTTTTACTTATATTTTTTGTGATCATTTTAATCAAAGTGAATACACTTGGAGTGCATTCCGAGTTGAATATGCATTCACAACGAGCTTTCAAATAAAGACATTCATTGGGGCTATCAATTGTAGTCATTTTATTTAAAGTATAAAATGCAGTGCTTTTAAGCGACAAATTGTAAATATATTGTCGTTTACCGAAATATGACACTTTTGGGCACTTGTATTATCACATTGACATCAATGGTTTCAAACCTAATAACCTCATGCCTTGGTTGAGTACATTGCGGCCACACCTGAACAACAGTAGCCTAGTCTTCGCCACATCCGACTCCTGACCCTTCACTCTGAGCGCCTGATTCGCTCGGTTTAACGCATTCCTGATTTAGTACACAATTTAAGACTTATTATAATTAACACATTTTAGACGTATGTTTGGAAAAACTTTGCCTCAAATCAAACAAATAGTGGACGAGAAGACTGGGATCGAGTGATTCGTACGAAGCGATGAGAATCTCATCAAATTGTGACAATCGATTGATTAGGAGTTTGGCCTCAAAGTCAGACAATGCGTCCACATTTGGCTCAAAGTCTAAGTCGATGTCAACGCCACAGTTGGTCTCCAGACTTTGGTTTCATTTTCATAAAAATCATAAATGAATACACATTTGCAGTGATGATGGCAATGGAGACCTGCATAGCCTGGCGTGCGTGTACTGTAACGCGATGCCAGTGTCACCGGTATGTCGGAGCGCTTTTATCGACTACGTGTACGGCTATGAACTCAAACAAATCGAGGACGCCATCAAAGCCATCTTCAATGAGGTGCCAATCAAACTGTGTTTCGTAATCGTCACCAAACGGATCAACACACGACTGTTCCAACAGGCGGGCGCTCCCAATCAGTACCAGAACCCGATCCCCGGGACGGTTGTGGACGCGGTGGTGACGCGGGACGAGCGCTACGACTTCTATCTGGTGAGCCAATCGGTCAGACAGGGAACCGTTACGCCCACGATGTACAACATCATCAAAGACGACACCAATTGGGCGCCCCATCGGCACCAACAGCTCGCTTACAAATTGACTCATTTGTACTACAATTGGATCGTGAGTTCTCCCGTTCCCTATTGTATTGAGAGTTGAGATCTAATTGTAATTAATTGTTGCCATATTAGGGTACGATCCGAGTGCCGGCCCCCTGTCAGTACGCCCACAAACTGGCGTTCCTGACGGGCACTGCCCTTCACCGCCCGTTCCATAGCCGGCTGAGTGACACACTCTTCTATTTATGAGACCAATGCCGCCGATAATAATCAATGAGTTGGACTAAATGACATTTTTTATCGCTTTTCACTCGTTTTAATCAAATGACTTCAAACCGGTTTATATAAACATATCCGACAAGCCATACAAATCCGGTGCTTTTTACCTATAATTCTAATTTAATCATAATTTTATTTAATATCATTTTTAAATATACTTTATTTATACCTTAAATCGCAATCATTTTATTGCAGTTTTTACTTATATTTTTTGTGATCATTTTAATCAAAGTGAATACACTTGGAGTGCATTCCGAGTTGAATATGCATTCACAACGAGCTTTCAAATAAAGACATTCATTGGGGCTATAAATTGTAGTCATTTTATTTAAAGTATAAAATGCAGTGCTTTTAAGCGACAAATTGTTAATATATTGTCGTTTACCAAAATATGACACTTTTGGGCACTTGTATTATCACATTGACATCAATGGTTTCAAACCTAATAACCTCATGCCTTGGTTGAGTACATTGCGGCCACACCTGAACAACAGTAGTCTAGTCTTCGCCACATCCGACTCCTGGCCCTTGACTCTGAGCGCCTGATTCGCTCGGTTTAACGCATTCCTGATTTAGTACACAATTTAAGACTTATTATTATTAACACATTTTAGACGTATGTTTGGAAAAACTTTGCCTCAAATCAAACAAATAGTGGACGAGAAGACTGGGATCGAGTGATTCGTACGAAGCGATGAGAATCTCATCGAATTGTGACAATCGATTCATCAGGAGTTTGGCCTCAAAGTCAGACAATGCGTCCACATTTGGCTCGAAGTCTAAGTCGATGTCAACGCCACAGTTGGTCTCCAGACTTGCCAAAGTAAAAGTATTTTTAGTATTTACTTATGTGTAAACGTCACTACTACCGTTACCTCTGGACGTATCGGACCGCACGCACATGACATTGCGCTACGGTCACAGTGGCCATACAGCCTCGCGAAAATCCCAATTGAACCGATAGTCCTGTACTCTGCGATACGACATGTCGTGTACTAATAGACCAGAAATGCCCAGAATGTCGGCCACACTATCGAAGTTTTGCCAGTGTCACCGGTATGTCGGAGCGCTTTATCCCAATTGAACCGATAGTCCTGTACTCTGCGATACGACATGTCGTGTACTAATAGACCAGAAATGCCCAGAATGTCGGCCACACTATCGAAGTTGTCTTCACTTATTTTAGTGTCTAATATACGGCACAAATAGTTTGATATTTGAGTCAACAACTCGTTTAATGGATACGATTGGTATCATAGATTGGATTACTCACTGGGACTTGTCTTACACGATTCGATGGCTCTCTCTTTGGCCTCATTGAGCACATCCTCGAGGAAAACAATGTCTCCCTTTCGGGTACTCATCCCTAATATGCGACCGAATCTCAGATGGATTAATTTGCTATAGATTTGAAAACATATTTAAAAATACAATTATATGTCTGGCTATTTATTAATAGGACATACCCCTCGAACTCGTGATCAAGTTTGGGTAGAATTTGAAATAAATTATTAAAATGTTTGGCTTGACTGCTGTCTACGATATAAAACATTTTATTGAATGAAAACAATTGTTTCCTATGAATAGCTGCCGCGATATCTCTGCAAACAAAACACAAAATGTCATAAAATTAATGCTAAACTCGTTTCAAACTCATCGCAAACCGCGTCAGATATAGTGTCGATCCGTCGCTCTTAATAACCGGTATTTTAAGGCTGCCGCGATATCTCTGCAAACAAAACACAAAATGTCATAAAATTAATGCTAAACTCGTTTCAAACTCATCGCAAACCGCGTCAGATATAGTGTCGATCCGTCGCTCTTAATAACCGGTATTTTAAGGCCCACTGTATTCGCACCGTTAGTACTACTGTGGCCGCCGACCACTGCATACTGAGCTCCGCTATCATCACCGGCGCTCTCTATGAGACCCAATTGTCTCAACTCATCCACAACTTCATGACCGGCTTCTGAATACATGGATTCGCTGTGAAACTCGTCGAACTCGACGCCTAACCTCCGGTACAAACTCTTGAGCCGATCGACGCTCAGCTCCCGAAAGCGGAGCCATTGATTCAAAACATCGGTATTCTGTTTGGTCTCTAAAGCGCGAAATCGGTCTTTAGCCGATTGACGCCATTCCTCACTGGCCTCACACTCTTGATTACCTCTGACGTAGACGTCAAACAAATGTCTTAAGGGATTGGCAGCCAATTGGTGGTCATCGCCGAAGCGGTCGTAAGCGAGCGATAGGATCCCGAACTGAGTGCCGAAGTCTCCCAAATAGTTGAGTCCAACCACGCGATGGCCGCAGAATCGGTGAAAGTTGGCCACAAAGTTGCCGATAATAGTGGACCTGTAGTTTCCCACGTGGAAGGGTTTGGCTATGTTTGGCGACGAGAACTCTACGACCACTGGTTGGCTACCATCGTGTGATGGACACCCGTATCCACTCGAGTCTGAGCTGTTGTTCAGTGTATTCGTGCCATAAGTTTGCGATAATTTGTCGCCTTTTAAATCGTGTATTAATTGCTGTTTTTGTGAGAGATATAGGTTTGTGTGAATGATATGTGTTTTCGTGGATCTATTGGTGGTGACCAACCGTCACATAAAACCGGTCGTCGATGTCCAACAGTATCTTGTGATCTGATCCGTGGGCCGAGTCATCCGGTGATGGATTGGTCTCCAAACGGATTCGTGTAATGAATGATAGCTTTAGTTGTAATGAGAAATGCATTTAAAGATGTTTTTGGGTTTAACTCTCAAAAAGCACTTACTTTTGACAATAAATTGGTAATAATTTGCGAAAATTCATGATTAGAGTTGTGGTTAATATCTGTGCCATTGATGTCAATATAAAACTTATGATCATTTGACTCATTTGACACTATTTTCGTGGTCTTAATTGATTTATAATTGAATTTAAAATCATTTGTCAAGTGATGTCTCATATGATGGCAAATCAATTGTTTAATCGTCAAAACCATTGCCCATAAAGTTGTTAACAAATAATAATCTCTTAATAATCAATTAAATATTATAGGAATCTAATTAATGTAACTAATCTAACCTTAATTATGTGTTTAAATGTTTGCTTTATTTGTTGCAATTGTTTTTCAAAACAAAAACAAATTTAAATGCAAACATGTATTACGCAATGCGGTTGTTATGGCAACAGTCAACATACAGTGGACACATGGGGCCCTCTGCTGCCCAACAAAACACACACACATTATAGCGATTGAAACTTTAATTCAATAAATTTTTATTAATCACTTGTTTAAACACTAGATTAACAGCTAATTTGAATACAAGTTTATTTTATACAACCAATTAATGCTTAAAAGTAATAATTATTTTATAATAAAATTATTTATATATCTAAATAAATACATAAATCGCACAAAATGTACGTTTAATTAAACTCTTGATTTACACAATAATAATAATAATATAAATAAAAATCAATAATTAGTTTCAATAATAACTTTCTTATAATGAATACAAACAGTAATCGTTTGAATGAATTGATAAAAATTCAAACAAATCTTAGAAAAATATGCGGAAATCAGAGAGAATAGTAAACAGATTAATTAAAAACAGGTTCGGGAGGGCTGGGAGTCTGGAATGTATGACCAAAATGAATGGAAACACTATTGAAACGGTTTATACGGATCGGGAGTTTCGAAATCACTATTTGAAGAGCAAATCATTTCGGGACAGAAATGACCGAAAAAAAAGTAAACCAAAGGTTTAAAGGGCTACACAATGGTTGGCGTGGCGCGCGAGAGCACCGGTATCTAGAATATGGGTATATAGTTGTCGATCTTGGCCTTGTGCTTCTGGGCCACACACTCGCTGATCCACACGATGTTACGGCACTCCTGTTCCTTGAGTTTGAGGTACGAGTAGAAGACCCCGAAGTGGAACTGTTGCATAAAGGCGTTCACATTGAGGCTCACCTCGTGCTCGAAGAACTTGTCCTCCAGGGTCTTGTCCTCACCGCCGGCCGCCCCTCCAGACTGGCCCTGGCCTTCGAACAGCACTTTGTACTCTCCGTAATACTCGGCCACAGAGCGCACCTGCTCGTAGTCGTCGGCGCGGGCCAGGGCTGCCAACCCGTCCGGGTATAGTCTGCCGCAATTCGGGTACAGCTTAGCCCTGTCCTCTTTGGACAGTTCGGTGCCGAACGAGTTGATCGTTATGATGAACGCACGCCTGTCCGCCTCGAAGGCTGTCCCATGCAAACAGACAGTCATTTTAGTGAATGTTTTGTTCAATTCAATGCATTTTTAAAGTCAGTAAAAGTGTCGTTATTTTAGGAAAAGTTTTCTAAATATAGTGTTTGTCAGCGAAATGTGAATTAAGAGTTTGTGTCACATGTTTGGTGTACATGTTTGGTGTGTATGTATTGTGTGTACTGACGGGGAAGTCATACCCAATATCTCGCACATGACATCGGCGGTGATGCCCCCGATCTGGTCTTTGCAGAACTTGTAGAAGGACTCCAAATAAGCCTTATATAGAGTGTTGCGAATGATTTCGACATTCATTTCGTCCAAATCCTGTTCACCGATGCAGTCGACGAAGAAGGGCGCCAGAGGTGTGTCCACGAGGACGGCGTTGTACAGGTCTGCCGGTGTGGCCGCCACGTGAATGGCCTCCATCTGGTCGAACGAACCCAAGGGGTGACACTTCGGGATCAGCTCTGACAGCGGCCGCTGATGCAGAGTACCTATGGTTTGCCAGATGTAAGACATAGCGTGTGTTCAGTGATTGTCTCGACATAACATTGTCTGCGATAATCGATGGCAACGTGGATGTACTGACCGGTGATGAGAAGTATGATGTTGTCGATCATATAGGAGTACTGGATGTGATCGAGGAATGTGGCCAACGGTTCCACGGCGTGGTTGCGGATGTGCTGGAACTCGATCACCAACTTCTCGCGCAGCTTGTCGTCGATGGTGGACACGTTGATGGGCGACACCTCATTGGCCAAGAAGTTGCCGTAGTCTGTGCTCTGGAGGTGCAGCTTCAGGTCCTCCAGAGACTCGCATTGCACCAGATTTAGGTAATCCGACTGACGGAGGATTCCGCACTTGAAGCCACGCACGAGTGCCTCCAGATAACCGTTGTCTGAGTTGAACATACTCTCGAGAAACATCTTCGGCGGTTAAATATGGATCAGATGGTGACTGCGATGTCGGACTTGTTATTGATTTTTGAGTCAAACTCTCATCGACTGAACGCCTCTTTCTCTCAGTCTTTCACACACTTTGCGCTCAATATATAATACCATTTGTGTCTATGGCTTATGTTTGCCACAAATGGCATTCATATTAGTTTTCATTTCATAAGTGTTTTATGAATGCATTTAATGTTTAATTCAGTTTACATTCAACTCAATGTATGATTAGTTACTTTGATTTAGTTTATACGGTATTTATAACGAGTATAAACTGTATGTTAAAGGCCATGAAAACGAGTTAATATTGGTGTCAATAGGTGTCACTCGTGTTGACAGCAATTGAATGACAAAACCTATTGTTTATCAGTAAATCAGTGCATCGATTGATTGTGTCATTAGTTAACATTTAATTGACTTTTTAAACTGTTAATATTGGTGTCAATAGGTGTCACTCGTGTTGACAGCAATTGAATGACAAAACCTATTGTTTATCAGTAAATCAGTGCATCGATTGATTGTGTCATTAGTTAACATTTAATTGACTTTTTAAACCATTAAACCGATTATCAGTTCATTAATAAACGTGTAATTTGTGCGACAATTACCGCCGGAAGTGATGCCACTGTTTAAGCTGCAGACAAACGTGCCGTCGACCAAAATCCCGGCCAACTTCTTGGAGTCGACCGTCGAAGTGGTGGCCAAGACGTTGGGAAAGCC